AAGTCAGAGGAAGTGACTCAGCTCCAACCCTGCCTATCACCAGGCCTATCTAGAGCTCAGCTTAGAAAGCACAAAGTGACAAGTGTCCACAGAAGTGACAGTCACACACATGGCAAGACACTGACCTGCAGCAGGACCACCAGCATCCTCTGGAAATGGCCTGATGTTTCTCCTGTGATCTTGTCCTCCAGGTTGGCCTCATACTCTGCAAAAGAGCAATACCCATTCACCACCTTACAGGCTTCCTCGCTGTTTTGAGGAGACAGCAAGGAAAAGCAAAAGGTTCATCTGACTCACAGCTTGTAGAATCATCTATCAGAAACATCTTTAACAGCCAGGACATATTCTGCTTTCACCTATAACCTTACTGTAACAGAGGTGAAAATAGAGCACCTCATGTAGTAGCAGGAGCAGATTACTCAAAATATTTTGAAGTACAAGGTGACATGCAGAGATTCAGCTCTTGAGGATACAGATCTGAATTTTAGGTCAATATATGGCAGTCTCAACTGTACCGAAACCATGAGCCCAGACAAGTCTAGTACTAATAAATTTTGCCCTCAGAGATTCTGAGTTTGGGCTCGAAATTTGTTAAGAGATGAGAATTTCTCGTGTGGCAGGAATCTGCATAAAGGCAAAAGAAATATGTTGAATTAAGCACTGCCTTAAAAAAAAAAACAACCCCACAAACACAGGGTAAAAGCACTCCTGTGGGCAGCCAAATAGTTGCACCTGCTTTTGCACAAATGCCTTTGAACAGAACACTGAGAAAAAGGCAAAAAATCACTTCTGTTTTTTTACGTAATCCCATTTTTCTAGTTTCCAATTACTAAAAATCACCTTTTAGTCAAAGGGATGAAAATAATGGGTAGAAGAAATGCATTTGAAAGAATTCTAACTATAAAGCACAAAACACCATAACCTGCGCTCATAGCCCTGAAATAAAAACTATTTTAGTTTTACAATTTAGTTTCTTTTAGTTTTCTCCTTAGTTTCTTTCAATATGAAGTTCTGCAACACAGCAGGAAGAATTCCCTCTTATTGAACACATCCATCTGTTAACAGATAGAACTTATGTGAAAGATGAGCTAAAATCATATTACGAGGACTGAAGGGAGACTCTTTATTTTATACAGAAAATTACCTTGCAGATAAACCTGTTTAATCTGCTGCACTTCTGCGGGTGTTCTGGAGGCAAGGATTTCAGTCAACACTTTCTCATTGGTTCCTGCTCCCTGCAGGGGTGCAAGTATCAATCAGTTGATGGAATAGCAAAAGGGAAACACAAATTCCCTTTGGCAATCAAAAGCAAGCGTCAGTTCACGCACTTGGACCAAAGAAAGAAAAAATATTTTCTTCTTTCTGGTATTTTGTGGGGGTTTTGAAAAGAATTTCTTCTGACTTGACTGTTTTCGAAGCCAATCCAACAATTAGCAAAGGCTCCCTGCTGCAGGACTCAGATGGGCCCTTCCATGTTCAAGCACAGCCTCAGTTCTTTGCTGCCAGTCAATGAGATCCAGAGAAGTGAGTGAAAAGAGTTAAGTTTCCATCTCGGCTCTAGTTCCTGTGCTGTCTGTCATCAGACATCTGTCATCAGGAGGTACAGATACACACAGAGCCACCCAGCAATGATCTCCACCCTTCTGTGAACTGTGCTGTAAACAAACCTTCTCTTCCACTGCGAACACACACTTTATAATGGAATTGCTAATCCAGATAGTTTAGGCTGCTGCACTCTAATTACAGCAGACACAACAGATACTCTCACTTTTACAAGAATAAAATCTACAAAAGCCAAGCCAATATTTTGTTTCCACAAGTCTGACTCTACTTTGTATGAACAAGCCATTGCTCTTTTGCTTACAAAGGAGTCATTTCACAAAAACAACACTGAAATGCAATACCGGGCATTTTTTTTGCTTCAGTGCATTATTTACAACCTTTCCTGTAAGAAAAGTATCAAATACTAACTGCATGCAAAGATGTGTAACTGCACAGAAAGCTATCCAAATACAAACCTGCCAGGTTACATGGAATCATTTCCAAAACACAGACTGTTTCAAGAATGTGCCTACTCACCAGGTGAGGCAGACACAGTTACATCAGCTCTAATCTAAGGAGCAGCAGTGAAAATTGATGGGACAACCTTCAGCACAGAGTTAATGCTCACAGTTATCCTGTACAAAAGTCCTCTATCACATCTCCTTTTCTGTTATCCCCCCTTCGCTGAACTGCAGCCAGTATTGAACATCCTTTCCTGTGCAGGCCCATTCTCTGAAATCGTGTGATCTTGTGTTTAATATCTTTTTTTTTTAAGTGACAAGAACAAAACTCCTCTTGTTTCACTATCTCTATTCTCCCTCCTACGCCCATCTGTTCTGTCATTCCCTCTCAGTCTTTGACTCCTAAATCAATAAGAGGAACTTGGAAATACAATTTTTTTTCTTTTAATCAACAAGGCCCTTATCAGTTTCTTTGTCAGGTGTCATTCCCCCTTCCCCCAATGCACATAAAGACATTACAGAAAATGTCCAGGAATGAAGTTTCTGTTGTCTGAGCCACTATTTGCTGGGTCACAGGTTCATGAGCACTTGCTTGCACAGTTGACTAAAGCCTACATATTAACCAGCTGGGCATCAAGGATCTTTGGAGTTTACATGGAAGTATCATTCAACAAAGCACTACCTTACACTAGTCAAGTTCAACGGCCTCTACTTGGATTAATTCTGTGAATAATCCATGGACATGCAATTCCTGAAATTCCACAGGCTGATATCAGACAGGGGAAAAGAAAAAGCACATGGAAGAAAATTTCTACACATCCATATTGTAAATTGTTTGTTTACTGGGCCTGCACAGAAAGGCACTAAAGGCATTCAGTCAAAGAGAAGTGTTAGAAGGGTAACACTGACAGGGCTATCAACTCTTCCCTCTCTATTACTGAAGGCAGCTTTTAAAGCACATTCAATACTACAGATACTGCTCATAATTTTGGTGGACACCAGTTTACACAAATATACTGGCCCATCAATTCTGGAGTTGTGCTGCAATCCACTGGGCCAAAACACTCTCTAGCTCTAAACTACTTCTGAGTTATTAGGATGAAAAAGAAACCAGGCCAACCCATGGCATTAGCAGGTGTTAGCATAACTTTCCTAATGTTTTTTAAAAAGCTATTTCTATTAGCATTCCCCTTAGCAGCCAGAAGTTCCACCACCCTCCAAAAAAAGCCAAAAAAACCCACAAACAAACAAACAAACCAAAACAAACTCCCAAAAACCCCAAAAGAGCAACAAGCATTTCATGTAACATTAATTCCCCTCCTCTTACCTTGATGGCATGCTTCAGTGCATGAGCATCAAAAATATATGCTGGTCTCATCAAAGACACCATCAACGTTTCAAATTTGCCAGTAAGTTCCTTTTTCAGGTCATCTACAAGATCCTAGAGCAGAGCAAACAGTGCTGTAATGAACAAGGACTAACCACTTTAAATGGGTGCACGTGAGTCTGCAAGCTAAGAGACTCTGGAGACATAGCAAAAAAAACACAGGGGACACATTTTTGTTTTACTTGGTATCTCAACTGAAACAAATAAAGCAGAAGAAAAGGATACATGGGCATGAGGAAAACCCAAAACACATTGTGATTTTTTTAAGGATACGGCAGGGTGGAGGAGAGGGGGAGACAGAAGCAAAACTAGATTTGCTTTCAAGGAATGTTTTACAGTGTTACACATTCACGTGATGAATGTGCCTCGTAGTTTTAAGTAATCACCTTAAGCCACAACCAGCTCATTTCCAGAGGTATTTTCATCATCTTACCCTGCCAAACAAGGTTTTAAAGGCAGATGCAATTTCTTGTCGCTGAGCATTGTTTCTGCTGGTCAGGATCTTCAGCACAGTTTCTTCATCAGTCCCTGAAGTTAAAAAGAACAAAGAGTTACAAACACATTCTAAAAAACAAACAGCAGTGGCACAAACTCGAAAGGCAATGAAAGATGCTGTGAAAGCCACAGCCTACTGACAAACAGCAGAAGTATTTAAAATAACAAATGTCACCATAACCCAAGCTGAGCCACCAGGTTGGGTGTTCTGCTGTCACAAAAATATGACTGGAGGACCTACGTGTTGTTTGTTCTCCATCGGTCTCTGTGTCAGACTGTGCTCCAGGCACTAATAGCAACATTAAGTCACAGTCTGTATTCCACACAGAAGCTTTGGGCTCACCAACAATCTGCCAACTCCCAGCAAAACTCAGTCCAGCAACCCCAAAGTTGGGGAAGTGTGAAGCTATTACCCATTTTATACACAATAGCTTGCAAGGTAGTCCTCACTTTTGCCTGTAGGCTGAGGTGTATCACATGTATCTTCTTCCCTTCCTTCCACTTCCTTCCACAGGTGGCTCCAAAGAAAGCAGCAAATCAGGATTTGTTCTCACAGGGGAGTTTGGGGCCAGAAAGCTACAGTGTGAGTTTACAGACCAGTGGTTAGTCTGCATTCCTGCTGTGTGCTTGTATTCTTTGTTCCCGGGATCTGTAATGTGCTCACACACTTCCAGACCGAGGAGGCTGTTGCAGATTTCCCAAGCAGTTTCTACCATACTGCCATAATTCTCCACAGCTGTTGCCTGTAAATCCACAGTCGAGCTACTGTGCTGTAAAACTCTGAGCTGAAAAGCCTATGGAGTATCCAGTTTTTAATGGGGAATGTGCAAACCACCTTTCCCCCCCCTCATTCTAAGCTAAAAATAAACATCCTTGAGAGCAGCACAGTCAAAACCAGGACATGCCCAGACCAGTGCACTCCTGGGGTTGTCATTCCATGGCATGTAGACACAGGCCTTACTCTCATCTACTAAGATCAAAAAATGAGTTCAGAAAGGATGTTTTTGGAGGAGAAAGACCTTTTTGTAAAATACAAATTGTCCTTACCCATTCCCTTCATGGCCTTACGAAGAGCTTCTGCATCAGCTCTGGCATCAAAAGGAGAGAAGGCTGTCACGGTGCCTCTCGTGTACTAGAGGGGGAAAAAGGGGTTAAGGGGAGAGAGAAAGAGTCATGAAATAAAATATCACATCTTGCAGTTCTCCATACATGAGCTCAGACCAAATTTGAATCCACAGTCCAAAGCTGATAGCATTTTTCTTGCAATTATCTGACCAAATTGCAGTCTGTAGATATTTAAACACAGCTCCCTCAAAAGGTCCTACTACAGTTTTGCTCAGTGGTACCCCAGTTAAATTTGGGTATATTTACACAACAGTAGTTTGCAGAATTGGTATTTACAACACTGGAAACTGCATGCAGGAAAATTACAAAGAAGTTATCATTTGCTAAAGTAGCTTGAAAAATTAGTTGCACAAATCACATATGCTAGGAAAGCTGCACAAAGATCCAAGGTTTGGAAACAAGAATTTCCTGTCCATAAGAAAAACCTACTGGAACTTTCAAGCAGCACCACACTGATTTTTTCCACCACCTTGCAAATGAGACCTACTGAACTCTGCAGAGGCTTTCAGTTTTTCATCATGTTGCTTTTGACATAAGCAACTTCTTATACAAGTGACTCAGCCACATTAGTTTACAGCTAAAGAGAAATAACAGTTCAAACATAAGGATCAGCTTGTCCAAACAAAAATAATTCCACTTGGTTTCCATGGAACACGGCTCCTCAGGGCTCTTTGGATTAAACACAAGAGGATACTCATCACCCTCATGGAAAAGTTTTGCCTTTATTTAAACATGATAGCTCAGGAACCTATATACCACATATATGTATATAGTACAGTAGTTAATTTATAAAATATATAGAGTCAAGCAGTGGTCAAAAGGGGAAAGAGTTGGGCTTGGGGAACAGGAAGGTTTTTCCAACAGCTGAAGAAGGGAAATCTCCTGTTAGCATTGCTGTCCAAATGTAATGATCAGTACAGGCAGGGCACTTTTCCAGTCTCTAGAAAGAGCATGAAAAGAAGTGCCAAGACACCTCCTGAGCCTGGCACCAGATCACTCCACAGGCAGCAGAGCCATTTGGCCTCTGGGCTACAGCCCTTCCTGAAGTCAGCAATTTCAGGCACTCCCTGCCCTGCTCTCCAGTCAATGTACTCAGACAGGTCAGACACAGGAGCAGAGAGCACGAACCAGAAACTGCCCCGAGGTGCTCCTGCCCCTCAGGCCACCTCTGTATCACTGCCAGCAGACTCCCCACCCCTCCCACTGCAGCAGAGTAATGAGTTACCTTTATTTCTGATGTATTTTGGCAGATCAGAACACAAAGTATCACAGTGTTGAACAGCAACAAGCTTCTTTTTCGTAGATGCTTTCCAATACCCAGCTTAACTCAGAGCACAGCAATCCCACTGAAACATTCTGCTTTTCCCATTACAAGCAAGTTTTAAGGTGGCACTTCGAATTTAGGCAGAGCAATATGTATTAACTGTCATCTTCCTAGCTAATTCCAAAGGCTACCGTGAAAAAAAACCTCAAGCATTTGGGATGCAGTTTTATAAATCGAATTTAATTTAGTAAATCAGCTAAAGACTGAAAAGCCTCTCCCTCCTCTTCCCTTATTACCACACCAGCCAGCATGGAGTTATTTACAAGTGGATTTCCCACTGTTTTGTTCCATATCATCTCAACATAACTAATATTACAGAACTACCATGATTCTCCTTTGGAAATGACCAATGTCAACAAGCCTCAGAGGATGCAGTTATTGATCCTTAACTTAAAGTTTTCCTTTGCTTATCTTGTTCCAAGCGAGTGGAATTCCTCTTCACAATTCCTAAGTCTTGTGACAACGGCCCAACATTCCTCTGTGGTTGTTGTAGACAATGTATGTGTGAACACTAAACGCTACATTAAATCTACCTCTGCACTACTATTCCCAATCCCTCATAACTCTCTTTTCCAAAGCACTGCATGGAAAGTCTCAACACACACCAAGCCTGATGAACAGCTCCTGAAAATCTTCTGGTGCAGCTGAAGTCTGAAAGACTTTCCTTGGTGCCTAAACACCGTTTGCGTTCCAGGCATTCCCTTCTGATGAACAGCCCTCGGCTGATTTTGGCTCCCTACCTGCCACAATCACCCTCAATCAGAACCTGAGCCACACCTCTCTTGCAAGCCAGAAGTAGTGCTGCAGATCTGCCATCCAGCATAACAACAATCCACATCACCTGGGTACCAGGAGGGAAGAGCCATCTCCTCCTTCCCAAATGTGGCACTTTTGGGCCAGAGCAAGAGAGGGCAAGCACCCGTTCTACACCATCATCACTGACTGAACCACTGAGGGCAACTTGCAGTCACAGCAAATCTGAAACAGGAGCTACAAACCAGACATTTCCAGCAAAATAACAGATCCATACAAAAGAGTTTCTGACAAAAGCCAGACACTCATTTATCAAGACAACTCAGCCACAGTTTCAACACTAAGTAGAATACAAACTTTTCTTGAAGCAAACTGGCTCTTGCAGATGGATTGCAGCATCACAACTGCTATGCCATCTAACCCAATATGAAAAATGATGAAATGAAAGACAACTATCTAACTTTTATTTACAAACTTCATATTTTATTCACCTCTATAAAAATCTATCTATTTTTAGTATATCTAAAAATGCTCCTTGCCACCTATGTAAGTAGATACACAATAACACTACTGCCTTATAGGTCCCTTTTCCTTTGGTTACCAAGTTTCCCACCCAAAAGAACCCAAAGCACATCAATGAAATGGGGAAAACACAAACAGTCTTTGATATAAATCCTTTTGTAATCTGGAGCCATCCTTTAATAAGTCACAACACCCTACACTGGGCAGTTAAAAAGAAGTACAACACACAGATCTCCACAGAAAGTGTATCACAAGATTGTAACACCCAAAACTGATCCACATTCTTTACTTTCTACATTCCCTGATACACTGACTGTTGTTAAGGAATCACGTGTAGTGCAAGTGCAAATTGTGATTTCACAGTAGAAACAAACAGCAGCTTATATGTTCTCCAGACACCTCCCAGTGAGACCAACGAAGCCCCCAGACACACAAATTAGCATGAAGAGCAAAGGCAGAGGGGGGAAAAAAGAAGGAAAAGAAGACTTCAAAGCAAGAGATGATCTTGCTTTAGAATTTATGCCCCTTCAAATGAGCATATTCACTTTCTCTAGTATTTTTGTTTAATTCTATTCTAGCAAAAGTTTGCAGAAGGAGAAGATACTTCGTCAGGTGAACTGTTTCTAAGGAGCTCAGAGCCAGATGAACTTCTCCCAAGAGACAATTTGATATGGCCACATAACCTGGCAACAGCATTATCTACAAGATCAACAATAGCCACTTAATGAGGCTCCTTTTAATTTTTCTCACCAAGCACACAAAATATTTCCCACCCACAAGATTCCACATTTAGCCACTGTTCAATACAAAGCATTCATATCAGCAAACAAAGGCCATACTTGAACTGATTCAGACTTCTTCCTCTATCCTTGCTCTGTACCCATCACAGCAAGATCTTATCAGCCAGACTTCCCACAGATAAAGAGCTGCCTCCTTTCACAAGGCTGCTCTGCAGTAACAAAAGCAGCATCTCAAAACTTTGCTGCTGCAAAGCCCAGTGTTTAGTGCAGAGAATGAATTATGAGAGTTTTGTGGGTTTTTTTTAAAGCAGCTATCTGTTTACAGGATGGCACAGGAAAACAGTGGAGTGGCAAGAAAGGAAAGGGAGAATATTTACCAGCACACAGGTTGACAAAGAGAGAAGGTGTGCTATTTTCAGCAGACAGAAGAGCCCACAAGGTCACACGTTAAAAGAAATGGAAGCTTGTCCAAGATCTCTTGCACAAGAAGAGCCACCTTGCAGATAAACATAATACAGTGTTCACTGCTGAGCTGAAAGCCTTTGCGGCCATTGGAGACCACAGAGAGATCCCAGTTCAATCTGTGCTTTAAAACTCACATCACAAAAGAAATATCCCATTATTTCATTATATTCTTACCAAAATTTTGAGGGCAGTACAATGCAAATTAAATTGTGAGTGGATGCAAATGCACAGCTCTAAAGACATCTCTACAAAACACCTCTCTAAGTCCAGCAATGCTTCAGATTGTCCACTGAAACAGGAGGAGTAAGCTCTGGTCAGCAGACTAGACTCACATCTGCCCCACTAAATTTAAACTCCTGAGAAAAAACGTAATTACACAACATCTGTGTTGAACTCTGAGTCAATACACCATGGAGATACCACAGACAGGGAGGAGGGAAGCCAAAAACAAAAAAGGAAGACAGGGGGTGGGAGAATGGGAGAAGAGCAAGCAGCAGCAAGGTAGGAACCAATGGAGGGACATTTGCAAAACCACTCGAACCCGTCCTCACAAATAACCTGAACAGAGCCAGAGAGCTGCTTAGGGCCCAGAGCTGAAAAAGTGTTTGTGCTTTGGAATGTGAGACAATCCCCTGAAACACTACTGGAGCTGGCAATACTATTCCTGTGCTCCCAAGTCACACGTGCACATTGGCAGAACAGCAACTCCAGATTTAGCACAGAGCGGCCACACCTTCACCAGCAGTAAGGGATCCTTTCCTGGCAGTTCACAAATGGATACACAAAATACTCCCAAGTCCACAGTCAGGAAAAAAAAAATGGGAGTAGCAGACCAAAACAGATCAGGCCCCAGCATGCAAGCAGAAAATATGCTTGTTGCTCTTTTTCCAGATTTCTGAACTAGCAAACACAGGGCAGATTTCCCAGCTTTTCACTGAGCAGGAAGAGATGGTACCATGCTCATCTATACAGTAACAGAGCACTGCACATACAGATGTGAGAGAAAAGGCAGCTTGTTGGGACAGTGTTCCTTCAAAGCAAGCAGATAAACACGGCCATGGAGAGACCAGTCTGTGCATGCTGTAGTTTTCCTACAAAATGAATGAGCCTTTTTGTTCTGGACACGGAACACACAAAGTTCCTCAGGTCTTCAGGCAAAAAAAAAAATAAAAATCTTCCCAGAACTGAGCAAGAACAAGGACTTCAGTGACCAAGCCTCCAAATATAACTCACCTTCTTCAAAGATTTTATTCTTCAGTGATGTATCTGGACTAAATTGGACTTCACTACACCGTGCTGTGCAGCCCTTTGTGAACTCTGAACCTTTAGTTGTGCACATAAAGGGCTTCTGTCAATTGACACTCAACATTTCATGATTAATGGGCATTTTCATTCTTGCCACTATTTCATGACACAACAACATTTAGAAAGACACCTGCCATGAGGAGTAGAGTTTCCTCTTTAACTTTGGTATTTATTCTTATAAAATGAATTAGAGGCTAAAAAGGCTTTAACACTCCCAGTCTGTCATGGCTGCCTAAACTGCACAGGCAAAGAATACTACTGAAGTGGAAAACATCTCTGAACGTGGAAATTGGAGAACAAGGCCCACCTAGTACAAGGCCTCAGGGTTCCAATGACTTTAACCTACCACCATCCACCATAGCTAAAAACCCAGCCTCAGGGGTCACCTCAGGCAACAGAAAATTCTGCAATGTGAAGACAAGACTAACCGGTTTGCACTTTTGAAGAATGAAATATTTCTTTTAAAAAGATTCAGAGTTAAAGTTGGAGTCTCTGTGGAACAGACAAGAGTATTGTAAATTTTCATGCTTTTACTCAAAAGAAGTTACTTTCAAGCCTACAAGCAATGCTACATATTCTGTAATAAAAGGCTTATTGTCCAAGTATATCCATCTGGTCAGGTGTCCCACCCTGGCATGGGTAGGGGTCCCTGTCCTCCTAAGAGGCATCCTACAAACCAGGACTGTTGCTTAAAGAAAGAAAAATCCCTTCTTTGTCCCTCCAAAAAAAAAAAAATTCACCAAAACTAAACTTTAAGGATTTAGAAGAATACTATTTAAAGTTTTTTTTCTCTAGCAGTACCCTTTCTTTCTTCAAAACTATATCCAGAGTATGAGTAAACATTCATGGGGGCATTAAAACACCACTAATCACTCCACTCATTAAGTGCAATTACCCCGACCTTTGTGAAAGCACTCAAACACTTTGATTGCTTTCACTTCCTACAGCCCTCCTAAACCCGCAAACAAGCCATTAAACTCCTATTTTACTTTTCAGAGCGTATGCATTTGATGCAACTATAGAAACAAACACTGGAGTCCGCCTTATTTTCCATGCCTTCATCCAGCCTCAAACCACAGCAACGAAAGGGCTGCAGAGAGGAAAAAATATCAAACGAAGAACTGCACGAGAGCTCTAAGGCTTCTGGAAAAATTAGTGTTAGGTATGGGAAAACTGGGGACGGGAATACCGAGCCCTGAGCCTCCGCCAGGCACTGCCACGGCAGTATTTTTTTCTCCTTCCTCTTTCAGTGGAAGGAGCCTCCACCCAGGCGCGCTATAAACACAGGGTACCGAAAACTTGGCCAAATTAGTGGAAACTGGCGGAAAAAAAAAAAAAAAAAAAAGTTGTGTCTGACGCGCGCCTCACATGATCCCCGGCCCCCGCCCGCCCGCGTCTGCCCAGCTCGGGGATGGAGTGGTTCAAGGGAGCCCGAAAATTCAATCCGTGAGGAGTAAAAGGAGACAGATAAGACGAGGATGTCCCGGGAGCGGCAGGGCAGGGGCCGCGTTAGCCCGGGGCTGCCGCCCTCCTCACCTTCGCCATCTCTGGGATCCTCCGGGTGGGGCCGATCCGCGTCTGCAAAGAGAGATGCGACAGTGAGGGACAGGGAGCGACAGGGAGGGACAGCGAGGGGCAGTGAGCGCCCGCCCGCCTCGCCTCCCCCGCCGGCGCCCCTCACCTCCTGCCGCTGCCTGAGCCGCTCCGAGCCAGCGGGAGCACCGAGTGAAGGAGGAGGGAGCAGGACCCGCTCCAGCCTCGGCTCTTGCCTCACCCGGGGGCCGGGCCAGGCCCCACCCGGGGCGGGAGCCGAGGCACGGCCGCCTCCCCGGGACCGCCTGGAGGCCGGGCAGCGGCACCCTGCACAGCCCCGGGGCTTGCTCCTCCATCCCTGCTATGCCATGGATGGGTGTAATTACTGCTGTGTTTCTTAGTCGTCATAAACCTTTTAACAGAAAAATTTCGATGTGGATAGATAGGCTCCAGCAGGTCCTCGAGGCCCCTCCTGATGAAATGAATATAGAAATGAGTTCCCGTTAATCTAAAGGGGATCATATCCCGGCACTAAAGGGCAACTCTGAAAAGAAAACATTTAGTAAAAAAAGCAGGCATTTCATTAGCTGACCTGGGTTAGCCTCCAAGTAAGCCAGGTTAGCAAAACAAGCACAGCACTGGAACAGAGTGTAAGGGCTGGAGCTCCAGACTATAGCATGGCGAGAGTTTGGGGTGATGACAACGTTTACTTTACGTCTTCCAGCAGAACCATTTCACCAACCCAGGTACAGAGAAGATATCCAGCTTGGGAGAGCAAGGAGGGTCAGTCTGCATGGCCAGTCAATGAGCTGTTTCATCTAAAGCTGCAGACCTGCTCCCTCAGCCATACAAGCACAATCCAGCTGCGTGTCAGATGAGAGGAGGAAAAGTAACTGCAACACAAATGGAATTTACTGTCTGTGCCAAAATAAAGCACGAACATAATCCTGCTGTGTCAGCATTTTAACATGTAAGTCACTTCTGTCTTACAGTGAGTTGTGTTTACCTCAGAAAACACCGACAGAAACGCAGATTGTGGCATAAATTTAAATATTTTATCCAGCACTTCTTGTTGTCCCAGAAGTGCACATACAGTTCAGCAAAAACACGGGATCCACCCAGCTGGCTTCCTTTGCAGGACCGAGGATCAAATGGTTTGCTAAAATGTCCTGATTTATTTATTAAAGTCTGATTTGAATCTCATCCATTGAGGTAGCATTCCACACATGCTCAAAGGTGCATGAAGGGAATAGTGAGCTGCTCATAACATGCATGTGGAAATGCACCTATGGAGTAGTGTAGAATAACAATATTAAAGAAAACATTAAGGATTATGCAGTGGTTTTAAAAAAGAGCAGTTGACATTGAAATGGGTTGCTTTTAGTTTAAGCACAATCTTACTCAGACACACCCACCTCTTTCTGCAAAATTAAGTCTTTTTTTCCCCTTACACATTATATCCAGAGCCAGACACAGGCCACACTGGATCATATTCCAAGCTTTACTATCTAGAAAGGGCACACATAAGGAAATGCAGTGGGATCTAACTCTGCCCTGTTTAACACACTCCAAAATGCTGTCAATCAGAATGAGGCACATAAACACGGCGATAACAGGGCCTCCAGTGCCAAATGGCACAGGTGTGAGCACAGCCAATGGAAGCCAAGCCTCCTCAGTGACTCAGATGCCAGATAAGGAAAAGTTATTGGGTAATGTGAAAATTTAAAAAAAGCTGTACCAGTATCACATGAACAATTAATAAGGCTCTAGAAACTAATAAAGCTGTAGTCATTGCCACTTGGAAATACGTAAAGAGAATCTCTACTATAGTAAGTATCATGCACAAAGATCAGCACGTTACTTTTCCTAATACAAATGTATTTATTGAACTTCACAAATGAAACAAACCCTTGCATAATTTGGAAAAAGGTGTCTATTTGTCTAACACTATTTAGCAGCTAGCATGTGACCACATGGAATGTAACTGTACTGCCTCAGGAAGACAGCAGGCCTACCTCCCTCCCCTCCCTGTCCTTGCTGCAGCAAGCCCCTCCTGGATCCCAGCACTGCAATCCAAGCTTTGAACCCCTGGCTCCCTGTAATACCAGGTTATAGTTTAAAGCAGGCACTGCAACACACAATTTCTGCTGTCCCAATGAAAATGCTGCAAGTGTGTCATGTGTATAATAGCACATTAAGAGGTAAGGGGGAAAAGCTTGTTTTCTCACTGCCTTTTCTCATACCTTCTTATTTAGGATGGGTTCTTCTGGATTGTAGGATTTTTGCCTCCAATGCCTTATTTAGTATCCTTACTATTTTATAGCAACTCTCAAATTTAAGGAAATGATCAAACATGTATTGAATCCCATTTTTCCCTTTAAACTTTGTGTTGGGGGTTGTGGATTTCTGATCAAATTAACACACACCTTCTATTCTGCAGTAAGTGTCCCTGTGTACACTTTGCTTCCCATTTCCAGTGGCAGAAGTCTACCTTATTTCAATTCAAGGTACTTGAAATGGTTCTCCACTCTTCTACCTTTGACCATCTTACACACAATAACTCATCATTTTAATCTCTGTGCACAGTCTTACTCTTAGCCAAGCATGAGGTTATGTTCAGTCAGTGGAAGATAACCTCGGGATTTCTAATCAGTGAAGGACAGAGGAAAGAGTCTTGGATGTGAGAACACAGAATATTTTCCTGCTCTGGAAGGGGTCTGAAACACATGATCCAAGATGAATTGCAACAGTAGGAAAAGGTTAATCAGATCTTCTTGCCAACAGATGACATCAGGAGTAAAAATCTACTCCAGTCAATATAAAATGTTATCAATGTGTGTTTAAGCAAGGAAATATTTCCATAACTTCATGAAGCAAGGAGGCCTGGGGGAGCAGGGGGAAATGCTGGAGTGAAACCATGGGAAAGATTCACCAGAGCATTTGGGAAGAGCGGAGGTTTGAAAAGAGAACAAATCTGATCATCACAGCATTTCAGCCTTTGCATCGATTTGAGCACAAAGGGAAGAGGCAGGAGTAGCTGATGAGCAAATCCAGAATGAACCTGAAGACATGAGCAAAACTAGAGGGAAATGCATTTTGCACTGACTGCCTTCAGTGGAAACAATTCAAGTTCAGCTAAAACAGTTAGAGATGGTGAGTCATAAGCACCAGATGACATGGTGCAAGTATTTAACTCGACAGCAGCTCTAGCAGTCAACAGTGTTCAGCCACAAGCCAAAAGTCAGCCTTCTAGATTTAGTATAATTCTTTTTCTTGTTTTTTTTTTTAAATGAAAATAAATTTTCACACAAGGAATAAAACCCCAAAACATAGCAGTCTTTTCACCTTCCAAGCCCGTCCCTGCTCTTTGTATCTTCAAACACTGCTAAAATCATACCAGGATGTAATAGTCTGCTTCCCAGGGCTGCTGCTGGCACAGTGCACTTCCAATTCTTCTGTGACACAGAGCTGCAAACACCTGGAATGAGAAATAGCAATAAAATATGAGAAACAAAGTGGCAGCACCTTGATGATGTATTTTGCTCTGGCACACACACTGTGACTTTGCAAGCAGGGCCCTGTCAGTTCCCAATCCACTTCAAGGCAAACTTCTTGTCCATACAGAGTGAAATTCTGGGGTTGGTCCCAAAGTCACTTTCAAAGGGAAAGGAAATGCCGAATCCAGGCTGAACGAGCAGGAAGTGTTCAGCAACCAGAAAGCTGAAAAGCCAAAAATCCCAAACCTCAGGATATCCCACACCTCTTGGCCTTGGTTCAAGAGCCTGTGGGCAGGATTGCACATTACAGAGGACAGAACGAGTGTGCACGTGCTGCCCAAAGCACCATAAGCTCAGCAAACCTTGTCACTGCTGTATGAAACTCAGATATGCAAGCAGGTCTAGGCATATTTATTTAAAGTAAACAAGCAAGTAAATTTTCCCTGAGCGCTGACCACATTAGAGAGTCCAAAATTGCCATCACACAAGAGTTACCTGATGCAGTTGTTACAGTTGGAACTGCACAGGAACCACCAGATACATGAAATAATTCACTTGATGTGGGCTTTCTAATGAGGGGCTGGAAAATGTTTTCAAAGTCTGGTTGTAGCACTAAAACACATCTGCACGTTTTTCCAGAAACAACGTAAAAGTCTTAGGGGCTGAAAAGTTAGCACAAGAGCAGTCCATTTCAAAAGCATGCCCTCTTGCAGCTGCTGCCAGCAGCAGGCTGCCAGGTCATGGAGAGACCAATAACTTCAGGTTTTTTTAATAAATAAAGATGGATGGTTTGCTGTATCAAAACAGTCTTCCAGTGGGTGTGCTCATCTCCTGCCCAAATGCACCATACATCACATTGCTATCAATACTATCTCTGAGCCATTATATGACTCTACATCAGCTACCTTTAAATGCGTTACAGAAGAGAATAAAAGAGCAAGGCCCATTTAAATGCAGCTTTGCTCTACTGTGTATCCAATGGCTGCTGAAAAGGAAAAGGTCCTTCAATTTATCTGATGGAGCTGGAGCACAGGAATCAAGTTAGAGCACTTTTCACACAATATAGAAAGGCCAAGGCCTGTTGGTGTCCTACCTAAAGTATTTTCTCTTAAAGGAAATCCTACTGCAAAATATTTTAAAAGCCTATTGTAGAGGCACTGAAGTGCAATAGGCTTACCGAGGGAGATTTTCAGGCTTGGGAAATTTCATGGAGCAGACAGTTTCCATACGGAATTATAACTGAAGATCAATCTGAAACGCTTTTCCACACTTTAATGTCTCTTTGGAAGCGAAACAGTCAGAACTGCTTGATGAGCCACGAGCCAGAAGCAAAGGTGAGGGAGGGAAAAATAAAGCAATTTCAAGTTCATGTTTTGATTAACACTGACAGAGGAGAAATGGCTTTTGTTCCAGCCTGGTGCCAGTAGATGGCAATTTCCCAGTGCCTCGTTCCCCTCTGCTCCTACTCGAGGAGAGCAAACAGTTCAGCACAAATGGAGAGCTTTGTGCTGCACTCCAGCACCTTGGGTGAAAGGTATGAGGAGAACAATAAGCAGTAACACTATTAAAATAAGAGAGGAGAGGGGAGGGTTTTGCTGCTTTACAGGCAGGGTAAAAAGTTCAGATTTTAACGCTGACAGAAAGTTTAGAAAATTCTTTCCATGCTGCACATTCTGGCATCAGGGGGACAGGCCGAAGGACAGGCCAAGAGTACAAAGTAGAAGATTTTCTTGGTTTTTTTTTTAAAGCACTTTGAGAGTTGCTTTGGAGACTAAATATTGGTTTATATTCCAGCAAAGGCAACTTCCTGTAAGTGATTCATTACTTCTAATCCACAACCCATTACAGAGCAGTGCTCTGTCAGATTCTTGATTTCTCCTGGGACACCAGTACAATGTGGAAAGGTTAATAGGAGGTAAGAGCATTCATACCAGTTACAGCATCAGGCAGCTGAATTCATCTTACTGGAAAACAGTGTTATTTTCATTTAGTCGGAAGAGGTGAAGGTTTCTTTGAAATTGTCTTTAGACTAAGACACATCACAAGGATGTCATCAATGCAATAATCTCAATTCAAGCAAAGACAAATCACTTGAGCCAGATTCTAGTCCATGCCTTAGGTCCTGGATGCTAATCTTGATTACCAGGACAGCTCTGGAACACTACACTAAGGCAGGGCTTGATCTCCAGGCTGCCTAATCCGGCCTGAGAAACACAAATTACATCCCTAATGACCAGTGATAGGGACTCCTCCTCTGGGGCAAGGGGACAGAAAAAGAGCCAGGGGCTTTGGCTATTTTTCTGCACTTCCAGCTGTTCTGCACCACAGTTTATCTTGAGCAGATCACTTAGGGTTTGTGCTCTGCACACCTCCACACAGTGATGGTGTATGAGGGCACAGCCCATCAATAATAGCAGAACACTTGTCTTGTCCCCCATCCAGGAACTTGTGTGCAGATTTTAAGAGCCATTGCAAACCTTTGGGGGAGCACTAAGTAACTATCCAGAGTAAGAAATGCAAGTTCAGAAAGATATTTCCTTTAAGCATTAGGTCATTACTTCCATTTAGGAAAGAAGAGCAGAGAGAAAAATAATTGAGTTCTGTTAGCTTAATGGAAATTTGAAAAATCTGAGGGAAGAAAATAGAAATCATCCATGAGTGGTTGTCTCCCTCTCTGTGGAGGAGAGAAATAAGAAGTTTAGCTGAAATACTAAATACTAAATCCCTAAAATACTTCTAAGTGAGGTCCTGTAACAAGACCTTTCTCATGAAGGGGCCTCCCATTAGCACCCCCACGAGAGTCTTGAGATACAGGAACACCATTATCTTAATTTCCAAATGGAGAATCCAGGTAAGCTGAGGCTCAGTGGTTTCCCCAAGGTCAGAGCAGGTGCTGGTAACTGAGCCCAGGTTTCAAGTCACAAGCTACTGACTTTGCACTGCTTTGTTCTTTCTCCCTTTCCTTTGCCAAAGGACCTCAGTGTCACTGAAAACTGTCTCCTTGGTTTACATATTGACTGATGAAGAAGAAAAGAACCCATAAATTATTCTAAAGATGCCAGGAGAAGAAGCACCTCCACACTCTGCATGGCTGTTCTTATCTGAAACAGCACAAGGCTTGATGCCCATAAGTAAGACCAGAATCAGGCCCACAAAATCTGAGTTTGATTATGAAGAAATAATCAAACACAGCCTACATGGACTTGTTTTCTCTTCAGCCTTTCATTAAGTTTCTAAAACATGTTGATCTCAACCTTGCAAGCAACTAATTCAGCAAAACCCTGAATAACAGTGCTTTGATTGCAGACTGTGGAGCCCACACCACCACCTAGGTAACCCAAGTTTTATCAGGAGGCACTAGTGTCTCACAGAGCTTTAATGATTTGTCTGTGAACATAATTCCATTTTTTCTGTCCATAACTTCCCATATATCCCCCAACATTGGATGCTCAGTGCTCCTGTAAACACAAGAAACACTTCTAGCACTTAGCTCGAGACCTCTAAAGCCCCTTTCCTGGTTTCTATGACGTTTTCACACCTGAACTAGGACAAATCTACCTAAACTGCCAGCACATAAAGTGTCCTTTACTTCCTCCTGATAAGTCACTGCCAATGCACACCCAGACAGAGACATTCCAGATTAAAATTGCTCCATTTCTTTATTTAATTTTGAAACTTTCAAAGGTGAGTGAGCCACTCAAAGGCTTAGGCATGGTCAAAGCCATGCAAACATGAGACTTTGGGCACAGTCCTGTATAGGAAAAAATTCCACAATCCTTCTCTCACTCACTGCCATACAAGGTTGAAGGGCCTGCCACAGTCTAAACCCCAACCCTTGCCTCAAGAAAACATTCGAAGGCATTTTTAAATAGCATTTCTTAGCATTCTCCTGTTCCCACTTTGATCATTGCCAGGCACAAGGTGGGTTTTTTTCTCCATGGATTGCTGGTCCTACTGTTCAAAAAAAAGGACATTGCCAGTAGCTTAAATTTCTCACCCCCATCATATTTTTAAGAGCTGGCTGTATGACAAAATATTTCTATTTTTCCTAAACTAGCTATTTGCCCAAAAATACGCTATAAGTTTGGGAGAAATGTCTGTGGTAATGTTCCTCTAAAAACCCTCTACATCTCCTCTTTTGGTGGAGTTTATGTTACCTTAATCCACATTTTCAAGCTTAAAATGACTTATAGCATCCCAAGAACTTTAAGTAGTGGTAATCACAGCAGAGCTTTAGGTGAACTAGAGCCAGGTTAGGGCCCAGGAACACAGCAACAAATGACATCCTGATGCAAACTCCAATTCCATTTACTGAAAGGCATTCCCACTCCCCACGCCCTGCAATAACTTTTATTTAGCTGTTATTCAGGTATTCATAAAGGAAAACCTGGTTTTCTTGATCATATTGACAGCTTTTTGTAATGCTATTTCTTCCAGAGTAGAGGGATGAATTGATAGTCAGGGGCTCTGGGTCCTTATCAAGGTTAACTATTAGGCTATTATGAAACCCCAAATCTCTTTTTCCAGGAATGATACAGTTTAAATAATACTTACTCTTCACAAAAATGCCTTGATGCAAATCTCTATGAAAGAACTAATAACAAGCAGTAAATCCTACGCTATAGATTGAAATTGCCACGTGTCCCCAACCCGTTACCAGACCAAAAACCACAATGGTTTTTGGCATTCAGATGCAACAGGATAAGCACATTTGCAAGGGCAACCAGAGACTGCCTGATGTCAAATGTCATTCCCTGCCTCCTGCTTGCATGTCTTCAGCTCGTCCTTTTGTTGTATCTGTTTCCAGTCAGTGGATTGAATGACTTCTCATGGATTGCCTGCTCACTTGACCATATCCCAGGTAATCAGAACACTAAAAATAAAATTTGCTCAAAAAAGACAACACCCAAATGCAAACATGGAGTTAAGAAGGAATGAGATGTCACAAGTGAGCCAGTCAAATCATCTTCCCAGAAGGAGA